TAGCACTTTGAATGCACCATGCCATTCTCTTGTGGCTTACAGAGTTTATGCTGAAAAATCAGCTGATAGTCTAATGGGATTTCTTTATATGTACCAAGTTATTCTCTTGCTGCTTTTAATATTTTCTCTTTTTCTTTAACTTTGACATTTGAATTATAATGTGTTATAATGTGTAGCTCTTTGGGTTCATCTTTTTTGGAACTATCTGTGCTTCCTGGAACTGGATGTCTATTTCCTTCCCTAGGTTGGTTAAGTTGTCAGCTATTGTTTCTTCAAATAAGTTTTTTGTCCCTTTCTCTTTCTCTTCTCCTTCTGGGACCCTATAATGTGAATGTTATTCCACTTGATGTTGTTCCAAAGGTCCCATAAGCTATCTTCACTTTGTAAAATTCTTTTTATTACTATTGTTGTTGTTGTTCCTTTTGGGTGAGTTCCACTGTCCTGTCTTCCAGGTTGCTGATCTGTTTTGCTTCATCCAAACTGTGGTTGAAATTCTTTAGTGTATTTTTTTTTTCAGGTCAGTTTTTGTATTCTTCACCTGCATGACTTCTGTTTGATACTTTCTTATATTTTCTGTCTATTTGATGTTCTTACCGGGTTCATCCATTCTTTTTCCAATTCAGTAAGCATCTTTATGACCACTATTTTGAACTCTTTGTCAGGTAAATTACTTATCTCCATTTCAACAAGGATTTTTGTTTCTTTTCTGGATTTTATGTTTTTCTTTTTTTTGGGCATATATTCTTGTTTTCTCATTTTGTTTTTCTTTATATTTCTGTTTCTGTGTATGAGGTGCAATAGCTATCTTTCCCATTCTAGAAGGAGTGGTCTTGTGTAGGTGATGAAACTTTTTGTTCAACCTTGCCCTAATTCTTGGATGTCTCTTGAACTTTGTGTTTACCTACACAGTCTGATTTATTCTTAACTGGTGAGAGTACAAGTGTGGAATGAACAGCTTGGCATAGCGGGGTGCAGGAAGATATAGCATGTGGGCAGGGTGAGCCTGCTGGCTTCAGAGAGGCTATGGGGGAACCCAGAAGGACCCCAAGATAGGAGGGAGCTCACTGGCAATAGTAGGGCCACCAGAGCTTATGGAAAGGGCAAATCAGGCAGCTGCATCAGGGCTATAGGATTACAGCTACCACAGGGCTATGTGGGGCAAGCCCTACAATACTAGCAAGGTTGAATGAGAATGCACAAATGGTGCCACCAGCATCTTTTCCCCTGTAAAATGTTCTACCAGACGCCTGTGTCTCCAGCACATGCTAACCAATGTCCACTGCATATAGAACTGTGCTTTCCAAACTACCTTTTTTGTTTTGTTTTGAGATTCCTGGGGTAAGTCTGTAAGACCTTTAAAAGCAGCCTTTTCATTTCTCACAGCCTTTTGGATCTCTAACATATAATCCCTTTTGCTTTGCAGAATCAGATATTTTGGGTGTTCATCTCTCCAGTGTCAACCCCAAGGGTTGGGGTGCCTGATATGGGGTATAAGCCCCTCACTCCTCAGGGAGAAACTCCAAATTTGTGATGTTCCTCCAAATTGTGATTTGCCATGTTGACAGTAGGAATTTTGGCAAGATTATATTTCTGCTTCTCTTACCTGTCTCAATCCTTTATCCTTTGTTGTGGAGAAACTCTTAAGCTAGTTTTCCTGTATTTTTCAAGGGGAATTGATCCTTGCATAGCTGAAGATTTGGTGTGTCCATGGAGGAGTTGAGTTCAGGATCTTCCTACACCACCATCTTGAACTTCCCCTCCATTTACTCAATATTTATTATACATTCTATGATAGAGGACTTTCTCTTTCCTCTTACAAGCTTATAGCTCATTTTTACTTTCTTGAATATATAGAATATATTCTAATAGTTATTTTAAAAATCTTTTCTCCATTTCTATCATCTGTGTCATTTCTGGATCTTTCTAATTTATTGAATTTTCTCCTTGTTATGTGTCATATTTTCCTACTTATATACTAGCCTGGTAATTTTTGATTGAGTGCCAGGTATTAATGATTTTATGTTTTGGAGTACTGGATAGTCTTGTACTCTCTTACTCTATTTTTAGATGTAGGAGGTAACTTGGGATGTGTTCGATCATCTGAGGATTGCTTTTAGATTCTTTTAGTGGATCCAGAGCAAGCTTCATCCTGGGGTCAGCTTGGTTCCATTATTGAAGCAATATTCTTCTAAGGAGGTGACTTAATGTCCTGCATTTTAGGTCTTTTTACCCTGAATGACTGAGAAGCAAATTATTCCTGGTTCTGGGATTGTTGTGTTTTATCTTTTCCAGTGGTTCTTTGCCTATGCTGGGAAAGCCTTTTTGGCATGCAGTCACAAATCAGTAGTTAAAGATTGGTTGGAGATACACGGCATATCTCTCTACCCTCTTTCTTGTGCAGCTGTCTTTTCTTATATTCTCTGGTTCACAAATTCTAGCTACTTTAACCTCCTCCAACTGAGAACTCTGCCTGGCTGTGCTTGGGTTCTCCCCTTACAAGCTACAGACTTGAAACCCTCCTCTCATAGTAAGCTATGGTCGTCTTAAGAGGTCACTATTATGAGCTACTTTTTGATTAGTGTTTAAAAACTGTTAATTAATCAGTGCCTATTGTTTGCTCTTTACAATGGGAGGGTAGATATGGTCCGTGTTACTCCATTATGCTTGAAAGTGGAACTATCCTCTCTTCTTTATTATCCCCACTAATTCCCTGATTCTAATCCTTATTTTCTCATGCCTAGAAAAGGGGTACTTAGAGAAGTGGTTTACATTTTAAAGTACAGGCTTACAGAATTCCATCAGAATTCTTTGGGAATCTTTTTCAGACATGGGATTCCTCAGAAGTAGAGTGTGAATAATAGCAAGTGTATTCCATATCACAAGTTTATTAGGAGAGTGGTGTTAAAGAGCTATTACTTTGGTTATATCTCTTGCTGATATCTTTAAATTGAGCTTTTGAAGGAATGATAGTCTTTACACACAGATTTCCTCTAAATCTCTTCAAGATCTCGCCATTCACTTCAGAGCCCAAATCATAATTTTTTTTTTCCCCATGAAAATTTCTGGAGTATTTTACCCATCATCTTTTTCCTTCTGTCCTACTATAGTATATCCCTCCTTGTCCCTACCTAACACAAAAAAGTTATGATAAATTCATTAATGGGATCTATCTTATCTTCAGTTACTGCTCTAATGCCAATCATGTTACAAATTCTTCATGATAGGTAGCCAGGTCTCACTCATTTCCTATACTTCAAATATTTGGCATGATATTCCAAATGAGGTAGGAAAATAACTCTCTTTGTCAGAAAGAACATTAGAATTTAGTTAATCTGCTGCTTATATTACTATGTAAATCTAATTTTCTTCATCTATGATTTCAGGGGTGGGAAAATCATATTTACAATTTTAGTTCTCTAATATGTGAATGAGGGTAAGAAGGAAAATGGACATATGAGCTAATTGTGAGTTTTAAGCCAAGTTGAATATATAAGGAAAGTGTCTTATAGGCCATAAGTTGCTTAAACTTCTAGAGTATTAGTATTATTGTTATTGTTGTTGTCCTACAAATTATTACTTTCTAATGATTAGAGTAAGAAATATATTGTATCACTAATTGCTGTGAAAATTCTACTTATACATTATATTCTTGACAAAGTTGTTGAAACATTATTTTTGGTTGTTATAAAATTTAAATTAATAAAAATATGAAAAGAATATTAAAAAATACAGAGAAATACTATATAGGTAGTATTAATATTTTACAGACTACTTTTGCACCCCACTCTCATGCAATTTTTGTACATTTCATGATATCTTTAGAGATGTCAATAGAAATGGGAAAAATGGATGTTAATGAGCCATAGAAGGATAAGTATTATATTAGGACATGTGCCAATGCTTTCTGGAAAGTGAAACCAGAATTCACTGGAAAGATCATTTAGGGTATTGAAGAAATGTTCTCTCTCATTCTAGGAAATATTTGTTATAATTCTTTCAAAAATTTTTTTCTTTTTTTTTTAAATTTAAACTTGTGTGGACAAATAGATATCCCATCCCCTAAGGACAGATCCTAAACGTTTTACAGTAGTGGGCCTTACAATCAATTCAGTCCTTCAAAATACCATTATAAGAAATAGAAGGAAAACTAAAGGAGAAAGAAAAAGAGAAGGAGGAAAAGGAAATGTAAATAAACTAGAATGGAAGGGAATAGACAGTATAAGAAGGTTTCACATATATTAAGGAGAATTGTAGAAATTACTTAAGATTTAAGTATGTTTAAGACATTTCTTATTGTAAGTTATAGAAAAAGTTTGAAAGACTTTTTTAAATAGATAACAAAAACTGGAACTGGAGGAGAGTGAAGACTATTTCAACTCAGAAAGAACTTGGAAAATATTGAAAATTATTTATGTTTAAGAGGAAACATATCTAAGAATGAATAGTAAATTAAATCATCATATTCAGGATAATTTCTCTAACTGCATTTGCCCATAATTGTTTCATCTTACCCTCTTATTGGTAGTGCTTATTTGCAATATAAATTGGTAACATATTTAAATTGTGTTTATTTTGAAACTTCTTTAGAGGATGTTTCCATAGAAAGTCTCTTAAATGTATCCTAGGTACCTAGTAAATAAATATGTGTTGATTCACTGACACAAAAAGTGTATATGAAATTAAAATCGGCAGCACAATTTTTTTTTTTGCTAATAAAGTAAAAATTGAACCAATGTGCTTATTTTGCCTAAGATCAGTGTTAAGATTTCAACATAGCTCAAATATTATTCTTGATTCTAAGTTTAAGCAATTTTCAATTATAATTTCAATATCTAGTAACTTGAGTTTTACTGGATTACTAACAGTATACTTGTGATTAGAATATAGCTTTGTCTATCCAAATCCATGTAATGATTGACAACTACCGATCAAAAATTGAATACAATCTCCTGAGTTATGAAGTCAGATTTATGAAGATCAACCTCTGTTTTCTTCTTTAGGAATGGCAAGTTCATTGAAGAAAATGAAAAGTACATACTGAAGGGAGGCAATACAGAACTCACTGTCAGGAACATAATTAATAGTGATGGGGGTCCGTATATCTGCAGGGCCACAAATAAAGCAGGAGAAGATGAAAAGCAGGCATTTCTCCAGGTCTTTGGTAAGTATTATAGCATAGTGGTTAACATTATGATGTCTAGAGGGAAGTCTGAGTCAAATTCTACTCTGTCACTTATATGTCATTAACTTTCTAAAATTAAATCTGTTTTCTAATCTGAAACATATTTTAGCATTGCAGCTACCAGATAGAATTATTTGAGGAATTACATGAAATATACATGTATATTCTTATAAAATATTGGATGACTGATAACAGAAGATGGAAGAAAATTCCTTTAAATTACACATAACTGGGATCTGTTATAACTTATAGATCATTTATATTTATATATATATATATATGTTGGTCTTCATAAATCTTTATGTGACACATGTTGAGATTAGTTTTACTTTTAATATACTTCAGAAGAACACATCTGTAAGCTAAAATTAGGAAATATTGACCTGTAAGCATAAGAAATTACTTTTCTTCATTCTATTAAAAGGGTATATAATATGAATATCTTTCATATTTACCAAAAGCTGTATTGTTTTCTTTGGGGAACTTACAGAAAGTGGATAAGCAGTAAGGTGTTTGTTTTTTTTTTAATTGATTTAGCTTCCATTATGTTTGTAAGAAGAAAACCAGTTTTACTTGTGTATTTGGAATATGTCATTGTCTTTAAAAAGCACAACACAAAATTATATGCATCAATAGCATTTAATATGTTTTCTCCATTTTTCAAAACACTGTTATCAAAATTCTTTCACAACAAAAAGAGGAAGTGGGAAGAAAAGAAGGAAAATTCTGTGAGAGTAAGAAGGACCATAGTTCATGTAGAGGAAAGAGTAAATAAAATTGTTAGAAATCATAAAAAGTTGTTAACTTATTCTAGCAGTATCTGCCACTTAACAAGATTGTTCTCTTTAGAACCTACACTAAATAAATATGACTCAGTATAAAAAATTTATTAATTACTAATAATAGTTTCTGAGATAATCCCAAAGAGTAGATATTCTCAATTTACATCAGAGAGCCATTATGAAATACTAATCATTTTTTTATTAAGATGGCAGTGAGAACAAAGAGATAAAAAAAAGATTTTAATATTTTCATCTTTTCAAATGGAAAATACATCATGATATGCTACATCACTGTTGTAATCACTTTTTAATAGTAACACTAAACAAATTTGCATTGTGCTTGAAACAAAATCAAATATATATAGTAGAAATCCAACTAAATCCATTAAAGTCAATGCAATAAACACTGAATTGTTAAAAATTATACATTCCATATTTCCAATATTTGAAAACTAAGTTTCCAAGATGAAAAGCAATTTATTTATATCCCATGATCAGTTGCATTTAAAGATTAAATAAAGTGTTACTTTTCTGAAATACCATGTGCTGGCTTTCATCCCTTTAAAGTTCTACCATGTAAAAATTTAAGAAATGCAGATAATACAGATTTTATAATTGTAAAGATCGGTGGTATCATGCAAATTTGTGGATGGACATATTTTTAATATAATGATAATTTAAATTAGCAGACATAATGTTTTTTCTCATTACTGAAGTCATAATTATAATGAAATGATTAGTTACAATGCCTAAAATTTTGTTAAAATAAACTGAAGTAAAAAATAAGTCAATTGGAATAATGTAAGAATTAACATATATATACTTACTTCATTAATATTTTAAATATTGTGCACGATTTTACTTACACATATTCAAGATACAATCATCATTTTCCTTCTCAGGAGGAATTATTTTTAAAGCTTAAGAGATAATCACTAAATAAGCAGATGTTACGCATGAACACATACACACTCATAAACATAAAGCCACCATGTGGCTTTAAAAGAGGAAATTTTAATTTTGTAGATTTAAGAGTGGGAAAAATAAAGTTCTTTTGAAATTGCAAAGTTTCAAAAGGAATTATAATTTGTATGTTGGCTTTTAAGCCACTTCAAATTTTTTTTTATGATAATTGATGAGAATTATTTTCTAAAGCTTTCCCCCCTGTATTTTGTGAGTCTCTTGGCACTCCTTTAATGCAAAGTGTGCTGCTGTAACTGTTAAAATCTTAGTAATTCTATACTGTACTAATGTGAACTTAAGTGCCCACTGCGGCTTTTAAGTCTGAATAGTGATATTTTCCTCCCATACAGATTGAGTAATGTATATATTCTTTACAGTACAGCCTCACATAATACAGCTTAAAAATGAGACTACGTATGAGAATGGTCAAGTCACACTTATATGTGAAGCAGAAGGGGAGCCTATACCAGAAATCACTTGGAAAAGAGCAATAGATGGCATCACATTTTCTGAAGGAGATAAGGTAAAAGGATCTCAATATATAGTGATTTTCAATACCATTGTATTTTCAGAGTTTTGCACATTACTAAATTTCACATTGGACTTCAGTTTACCAAGTAACTTGTAGGAATGCAAGAAATGGTTGAATTTTTCAAAAGGTAATGCTACCACACTCAGCCCGAAAATTAGTGGAGAAAAAAGTGAAAGTGTAATATTTAAAGATGTTTTTCATTATGTCACAAAATTTTAGGTTGTTGATATTCTTAAGTATTCTTACAGGGACTTTTGGCATACATGGAATTTATAAGTTATTGCAATTTTAGCTCCCCACCCCATGCTGTGAAAATGAGAGTCATCCCAGACCAAATTCTGCTGTCATCATTAACTCTTTACTCTTTAGAATTGTCTTGTGCGGTGCAAAGTTAGGTGTCACCTTCACGAGGTGGGGATCCTGGTGATGAGAGCTGAAATGATGGGGGGACTACTGACTGATGATCAGTAGACATCTTTATTTCTTACAATCACTTCTTTTATACCTTCCACAAGATCCGATGACAAACAAGATATAGATTTATGTGCAGGGTGTAGGCTACATGTGAGATGTGATTTACGTGCAGGCAATCAAGTGAGACAAATGAACAACAGGGATTATCTCTTAGCTTTAAATGACAGGAGCAAGTTAGGGATTCTCCACACTTATCAGATCTATCTCAAGGAGGACATGAAAACATTCCAGGGATCCTCCCATGTTTATTCTGGGCCCAGGAAGACTCTTGCCCTCCATCTCCTGGAGTTTTCTCACAGGGTTTGACACAATTCCAGTCACACTGGCGAGTATCTGGGTTGTGTTTCAACAGTTAGGTTTGCTTTCATGTAATTTAGAATCTAATAAAGAGAAATAAACACAAACAGAACAAAATACAGTACTTTGGTAATTGTCAGTCGCATGTAAATAGGCGACCTGTCACCAGAATACATTTACATTACTAACTAATTAATAATAGACTTTCATTATTGCTCTTTTTAATAATTATTCACACAAAACTCCAAAGTATGGACAAAGTGAAACAGAAAGGAAAAGATAGTGAATTAGTGATAAAATGAATTGACATTTCACATGTGTAAAAGAGGGTAAGATTAAGCTTACCAATATCTTTTCTTAATATTAATATTAAGAAATATTTCTTATATTGATATTAATATAAAGGAGAGAAACTCCTTGAAGCTTTTCATTAATTTAAATCAAGTTCTGCAAAAGACAGTGATTTCTACAATATAAGTACCTTTGACGTACTAATAAGGATAGCAGAAAAATTTGAAACCAATTTATCTGAAAGACAGTTTCTATCCCTCCAACTCATGTAGTTTTGAACAACATGCTAACTCCATAAACTGACAAAACAGCCATCTCCCTAGCTATTTACTATTTATTCTTTGTAAGAATTGTATTCACATATATATGTATATATGTATGTATCATATACATATATATAAGATATACATGATATGTATTCCTATATATATATCTATATATCATACTTTGCTTCATTTCCTCCTCATGATGGCATTTTTAAGAGAGTTATATCTTTTTTGGTAATAGTTATAATATTTTGATATACTTATTTTATATATACAAATTAAAAATCAAATTTATAAAATATCTTCTGGAAACCCAGAGAAACCATACAGACTTTGCTTTAACATTTTCTTAACAGAAAATCCTAGATATTAAGGCACAATTGTCAAATCTGAAAGGAGTTATATTTCCATAAAATTATTTTAAATTATAAAAAAATAGATATAAAAGACTGTAGGTAATTGTTTTCCTGCCAATTTAGTACATTTCTTTAGATCTCTCAAGAATAATGATTTTCATGTCTACAAGCTCTTATTAATTATACCTTCATATTCCTAACTCATGCTTTCCTTATATTCTTGACTACTGTAAAATTCCTAAAAGTTCTTGTCTTTTTTTTTTTTTTTTTCACTAGTAGCTGTTGATCAATTTGATGTGAAATTATTTCAAAGTATGGGACAGGAATTTGCATGTCAACCCTATGCAGGGGTCTTACTTATCTTCTCTGTATCATTCCAATTTTAGTAGATGTTCTGTCAAAGTAGCAAGCCAGCACCTGAAAATTCTCATCTTAAGATAGTGTTTACTCTTCATTTAATGGATGTTTCCTTATGTGTATACCAAAAATGAGAGATGCATTATATCCAGTTATTTTATCATGAAAAGTTGTCAAGTAACCAGAAGGCTGTGACATTTTTTTCTATACTGTAAACCCCAGGCCACCCAAAACTATATTCAGAAATTTCTTCTCTAGTAGTTATGAAGAATAATCAACTAGTTTTTTTGAAAAGAATCATCTCTATTAAAATACTCTTTTTATTTTTTATTTGGTTTATTTCCTACAAAACAATTATAGAAAACCATATATGCTTTTGTTTTTCCAAATGTAACTTCTATCCAGTGGGTAAAGAAATGAAGGTCATTCACTTTCTATCATGACATTTCTCCTAAATTATTTTGATTCATATCTTATTTTCTGCATAGTAAACCTCATTTCTCATTACTAGTTTCTTCAACAACCAAAATTCAAAAACTGAATGGTTGACCTGAGCTTTGAAGTAAGACATACCTGGTTTGAATCTCAGCTCTGCCATTTGGCAGTATTATCTGAACTCTTATTAATATGAGTTTCTTCATCTTTAAAATGTGGATAATAACACTTACTTCCCTTAAAGGTAGAATAAATCTGGGAAGTAGTCCTAACCCTTTACATTTTGTAAATATTCAATAAACTTTATTTTATCTTTGTTATATTATTTGTCATATTACATAATTTTTTTTTTAACTTTTAAGGATTTTATTTATTTATTTGACAGACAGAGATCACAAGTAGGCAGAGAGGCAGACAGAGAGAGAGAGAAAGTGGGGGAAGCAGGCTCCCTGCTGAGCAGAGAGCCTGATGTGGGGCTTGATCCCAGGACCCTGGGATTATGACCTGAGCTGAAGGCAGAGGCTTTAACCCACTGAGCCATCCAGGTGCCCTCTCAGTAACTTTTAAAGAGATTGTCTGATTAATTCCTTCAGCAACTCTAAAAAGAAAATATTGTTACATCCATGCTAGAGATTGAGGATTAGAAGGTGAACGTTTACCCGGGGTCATGCAGATAATATATACCCGAGCAGGAACTCAAGCCACGTTCATCTAGGCCTTCATGGTTTTGCTATACTGCATATTACATAATTTTTAAGGCATAGTTTATCTTGTTTGTTATTCTGAATAAATTCTAGTTGTTAATAGACTCCATAAAGTCTGGTACCTGAGGTTTGATTAAACACTATCGTGGAGTATATTCAGATCATATCTCTCTTGTCATGGAAAGCATGAGATGGTATTTTCCACAAGAATCACTTGGAGAGCCTGTTAAAATGCACCTTCTAGAAGCCCACTCCCTGATGTTGATTTAGTATGTCTGATACAGGACCTAGAAGTACATATTTAATAAACTCATAAGGTTGGTATCATAGGGGTTGACTTCAGGTCATACTCTGGAAAGTAATTCTCTAAGTCACATGAAATTTAACAGCTAATCCTGTCAACAGAAAAGTGCTCTTAACAGATTACTTGGCACCTGATAGAGGCTTGGGAAATATGGAACAAAACAAATCAAAACTTCCCATCATGTACACACTATCAATGTTTTGATGAAACTGCTCATTCTGTAGGCCATAGTGAAACAGCATCAGTGTAATGTGCTCATACTAAAAACTTAATCCCCAAATATGGCAGTGCACTTAGCACATATGTTCATCAGTGTAGATTTTCAAAGGATGGGGTCTCAATTAATAATATCCCCTTTCCTTACCTAAATTCTCAATCACTAGATAAGACAAAAAAAATAAATAGAGATAAAATGTCATGTGACTTAAGCCAGCAGGTAAGTGAATGTTCTTATACCGAACCAGAGAATTAGATAGACTTACCCAGCACAGTCCTGAGTAGCATTAGACCTTGTAGCCCCCCACTGTGGGAGAGTAGATATCACTGTCAAGGTTACCATCATGGCTGAAAGCAAGGGAGAACCTCTGGTCTCTACAGGAAGTCCTTTCTGAAAATAAAAGAAGAAAGCAGCTAAGAAGAACATATTCAGTATGATCAGTATGATACCCTCATAGTTACCCATCAAACATCTGCCTGGTTCTTATGGGGAAGAGTAATTAAGGAGTTGGAAAGTCCAGAACTGGTATGTTCACGAGCTCCCTTCCCATGGAATAAATGTTAGGAATCCATAAGAAGTGTTTACTGCCCAAAAGAGCCTTATGTAAATAACATCTTAATAAGCACTGTATATACATTTTCACAACTTAACTTCTGATATTCTTACTGCATGCTAAATGGCCCCAAAACAAAGTGGAACAAAACAGCCATTTTATTTTGTTCATGATTCTGTGGATCAGGAATTTGCAGAGGCTCAGCAAAGGGGACATCACAAGGCACTTCAAATGTGATCACATGTGTATGTTTTCTGTATCCATAGTTTTGTAGAACAATTGAACTATGTATATTAGTATACCATAAAATATCTTTGCATAATATGGCATCCTTCAGAAATCACAACAAAAAGTGGGGTCCTTAAATACATTTAAACTCATGACTGTTTCATCTAACCCACTATAGTGCATCTTACCTATATTTAAAATAGTGTATGAAATTTTAACAACTTCAGAAAACTTCAGAAATATGTATAAGATGTAAGAAAACGAGTATTCACTTGCTTCAAAAATACTTTCTTAGTATCCATTGTTATTTCAAAATAACATTTTGTTCATCATTTTATTGTTAAAGAAATTTCACATTTTTCACTTTTAGTTACCCATTTATTGAAAATTTCTAGACACTTTACTGCAATTTAAGTATTATTTATGATTCTCTCTAAAAATATTGATTTACCAGGGTTATCCAGAAATTCATTACACTTACAGATTAATATTAGCACTTTATTTTGGAG